CTCCCTCCCCCCCCCCACCCCAATTCAAAATGTCCTGTACGTGTTACTTGTAGAGTTCAGAAAAGAACCTTCTGCAAGAAGACTTGTCCGTTATGGAGGAACCATCTATCTTTTGATCAAATATCATTTTTTCTTAAGATTAGACAGTGTTCTTGAACCTCCACCAAGTCGTTTGAAGACGTATTTACCCTGAGCGCTAGAGGACCAATCCCAAATTCCTGAATCCCTCCCCCCCCCCCCCACCCCACTTCCAAATGTCCTGTATGTTTTACTTGTAGAGTACAGGAAAGAACCTTCTGGAAGAAGACTTGTTCGTTATGGAGGAACCATCTAACTTTTGATCAAATATCATTTTTTCTTAAGATTAGACAGTGTTCTTGAACCTCCACAAAGTCGTTTGAAGACGTATTTATCCTGAGCGCTAAAGGACCGATCCAAAATCCCCCACACCCCACTTCTCAAATGTCCTGTATGTGTTTTTGTAGAGTACGGAAAAGAAACCGTCTGCAAGAAGACTTGTCTGCTATAGAGGAACCATTTATCTTTTGATCAAATATAATTTTTTCTTAAGATTAGACAGTGTTCTTGAACCTCCACCAAGTTATGAGACATATTTTCCCTGCGCGCTAAAGGACCAATCCAAAATCCCCCACTCCCTCTCCCCCCCCCCTCCCCCACCCCTATTCCAAATGTCCTGTATGTGTTACTCGTAGAGTAAGGAAAAGAACCTTCTGCAAGAAGACTTGTCCGTTATGGAGGAACCATCTAACTTTTGATAAAATATCATTTTTTTAAAAGATTAGACGAGTGTTCTTGAAAATCCATCAAGTGGTTTTAAGACCCATTTTCTCAGACTGCTAACGGATCGATCTAAAGCTACCCATTCCCAAACCTCCTATTATCATGTATATATAACATGTTTAGTACAGAAAAGAACCTTCTGCAAGAAGACTTGTCCGTTATGGAGGAACCATCTAACTTTTGATCAAATATCATTTTTTCTTAAGATTAGACAGTGTTCTTGAACCTCCACCAAGTCGTTATAAGATGTATTTTCCCTCACTGCTAGAGGTCCAATCTAAAATCCCCCACTCCCTCTACCCCAACCCCCCCCCCCACCACTATTCCAAATGTCCTGTATGTGTTACTTGTAGAGTAAGGAAAGTAACCGTCTACTAGAAGACTTATCCGTTATGTAGGAACCATCTACATCTATCTTTTGATCAAATATCATTTTTTCAAAAGATTAGACAGTGTTCTTGAAAATCCATCAAGTGGTTTTGAGACCCATTTTGTCAGACTGCTAACGGATCGATCCAAAGCTACCCATTCCCCAACCTCCAATTCTCATTTATGTATAACATGTTTAGTACGGAAAATAACCGTCTACTAGAAGACTTGTCTGTATGGAGGAACCATCTATCTTTTGATCCAATATCATTTTTTTCTAAAGATTAGACAGTGTTCTTGAACCTTTAAAAGGTTATGAGACGTATTTTCCCTAAGCGTGAGAAGACCGATCAAAAATTCCTGAATCCCTCCCCCCCCCCCCCATCCTGCTTCCAAATGTCCTGTCTGTGTTACTTGTAGAGTACAGAAAATAAGCGTCTGCTAGAAGACTTGTTCGCTATGGAGTAACCATCTATCTTTTGATCAAATATAATTTTTTCTTAAGATTAGACAGTGTTCTTGAACCTCTATCAAGTCGTTATGAGAGGTATTTTCCCTGAGCGCTAAAGGACCAATCCACAATCCCCCACTCCCTCCACCCCCCCATCCCTATTTCAAATGTCCTCTATGTGTTACTTGTAGAGTACGGAAAATAACTATCTACTAGAAGACTTGTCCGTTATGGAGGAACCATCTATCTTTTGATCAAATATCATTTTTTCTTAAGATTAGACAGTGTTCTTGAACCTCCACCAAGTCGTTTGAAGACGTATTTACCCTTAGCGCTAGAGGACTAATCCCAAATTCCTGAATCCCTCTCCCCCCACCCCCACCCCACTTCCAAATGTCCTGTCTGTGTTACTTGTAGAGTAGAGAAAAGAACCTTCTGCAAGAAGACTTGTCCGTTATGGAGGAACCATCTTACTTTTGATCAAATATCATTTTTTCTTAAGATTAGACAGCGTTCTTGAACCTCTACCAAGTCGTTTCAAGATGTATTTACCCTGAGCGCTTGAGGACCAATCCAAAAATTTTTGAATCCCTCCCCTTTCTCCCCCCCCCCCCAACCCTTACTCTAAATGTACTATATGTATAACATGTATAGTACAGAAAAGAACCTTCTGCAAGAAGACTTGTCAGTATGGAGGAACCATCTAACTTTTGATCAAATATCATTTTTTTCTAAAGATTAGACAGTGTTCTTGAACCTCCACAAGGTTATGAGACGTATTTTCCCTAAGCGTGAAAGGACCAATCCAAAATCCCCCACTCCCTCCAACCCCCCCCCCATCCCTATTCCAAATGTCCTGTATGTGTTACTTGTAGAGAATGGAAAATAACTATCTACTAGAAGACTTGTCCGTTATGGAGGAACCATCTAACTTTTGATCAAATATCATTTTTTCTTAAGATTAGACAGTGTTCTTGAACCTCCACCAAGTCGTTTGAAGACGTATTTACCCTGAGCAATAGAGGACCAATCCAAAATCCCCCACTCCCTCCACCCCCCCCCCCATCCCTATTCCAAATGTCCTGTATGTGTTACTTGTAGAGAATGGAAAAATAACTATTTACTAGAAGACTTGTCCGTTATGGAGGAACCATCTAACTTTTGATCAAATATCATTTTTTCTTAAGATTAGACAGTGTTCTTGAACCTCCACCAAGTTATGAGACGTATTTTCCCTGCGCGCTAAAGGACCAATCCGAAATCCCCCACTCCTTCCCCCCCTCCCCCACCCCTATTCTAAATGTCCTGTATGTGTTACTCGTAGAGTAAGGAAAAGAACCTTCTGCAAGAAGACTTGTCCGTTATGGAGGAACCATCTAACTTTTGATAAAATATCATTTTTTCTAAAGATTAGACAGTGTTCTTGAAAATCCATCAAGTGGTTTTAAGACCCATTTTCTCAGACTGCTAACGGATCGATCTAAAGCTACCCATTCCCAAACCTTCAATTATCATGTATGTATAACATGTTTAGTACGGAAAATAACTGTCTGCTAGAAGACTTGTTCGCTATGGAGGAACCATTTATCTTTTGATCAAATATAATTTTTTCCAAAGATTAGACAGTGTTCTTGAACCTCCACCAAGTTATGAGACGTATTTTCCCTGCGCGCTAGAGGACCAATCCAAAATCCCCCTCCTTCCCACCCCCCCCCCCCCCCACCACCCCAATTCCAAATGTCCTGTACATTTATGTGTTACTTGTAGAGTACGGAAAATAACCGTCTACTAGAAGACTTGTCCGTTATGGAGGAACCATCTTACTTTTGATCAAATATCATTTTTTCTAAAGAGTAGACAGTGTTCTTGAAAATCCATCTAGTGGTTTTAAGACTCATTTACCCTGAGCGTTAGAGGACCAATCCAAAATTCCCCACTCCCTTCCCCCCCCCCCCCACCCCAGTTCCAAATGTCCTGTATGTGTTACTTGTAGAGTATGGAAAATAACCGTCTGCAGAAGACTTGTCAGTATGGAGGAACCATCTAACTTTTGATCAAATTTTGTTTTTTCTAAAGATTAGACAGTGTTCTTGAACCTCAACCAATTCGTTTCAAGATGTATTTACCCTGAGCGCTAAAGGACCAATCCAATATTCCCCACCCTCCCCCTTTTCCCCTCCCTCGACCCCGCCCCAACTCCAAATTTTCTGTATGTATTACACATACATATACAGTACGGAAAAGAACCTTCTGCAAGAAGACTTGTCCGCTCTGGAGAAACCATCTAACTTTTGATCAAATATCATTTTTTCTAAAGATTAGACAGTGTTCTTGAAGCTCCACAAAGACGTTTAAAGAAGTATTTATACTGAGCGCTTGAGGACCAATCAAAAATTCCCCACTCCTTCCCCTCCCCTCCCTCCCCTCCCCTCCCCCCACCCTAACTCCAAATGTCCTATATGTATAACATGAATTGTATAGTACGGAAAAGAACCTTCTGCAAGAAGACTTGTCTGTATGGAGGAACCATCTAACTTTTGATCAATATCAATTTTTTCTAAAGATTAGAGTGTGGTTTGAACCTCCAACAAGTCGTTTTTAAAACGAATTCACCCTGCACGCTAGAGGACTAATTCAAAATTTACCCCCTCCCCCACCTCCAGGTGTTCCATATGTATGGGACATCCCGCCCCAGCCTCAAAGACTCGTTCCGACATGATTCATCGATCGAGAGATACTAATGTGTATACATGTATGTTTGTGCTCATTGTGACTTATTAATGCCATTTCCAACCACAGTCTGTAATGGAATGGTTTTAAATGATACTATTGAAGACAATCTATAACTTCTCTTTAGGTAAAATGACCACAAAAAAATGGCATTCAGACAATTTACTCACAGCTCATTTGCTCATTTGCTGCACATACATTAAATGTGCGTTGCATTGACTCGGACCACTGAAATTCGAGCAGTGTTTTTGTCAGTAAATCACTGCAAAAATATCATTTTCATAATGTATGAAGGTCTATTTTTGATTCCTGGTATAAATTTCATTTTTGAGAAGTATGTACTACATTTTAGACGAGATGGCTGATGTTTGTTTCACATTCTTTCCTCCTGGCCGTAAGTAGTAAATTGATATTTATAACATTTTCCTTTGCGTCATGTAAACCATATACAAATCAAATGGTTGAGAATTCAACATTTCTACAGAAGGAGTTATATAATAATATTTCAATAACATTCCGAAATGGATAAATCTTTTCCCATTATAAGAATACAAGTTACAGTAATAACACAAATTGTTTTCTTAAGAGTTTCCATGCATTAGAATAAATTAACAAGTGTTGGTAAATATTATTTGTTTTTCATTTATAGAGCTGATGTATCCAGGGTGAATTCTCAATTGGGACAACTAAGGTAATTCTGCTATCTGTCATCCATTTATGATTCATCTGGGGGGTGTTTCACAAAGATCAAAAGTTGAACTTATCTTTAAGTTGGACTTAACAATAATGGAAAGCCGTTAGGATCTATGAAGATATTTTGTATAAGTTATTTGAAAAGGCATGAATTGTTGATTCAAATCATTCATATTTTCTATTATCAAGGAGATTTCATGTTCTTGATGTGAAATTTATAAAAATTCTAAAATACTTGAATTTTCACTTTTGAATATATTTTATTTTAAGGCTGCAAATGGCTCTCCATAATTTTTAAGTTTGACTTAGGATCTTTGTGAAACACCCCCCTGGGCTTAGTACTGTTATATTTTAAAGTTATTTCCCAAACTAGTTTGCATGCCATAAACGACTAGCCAGTTTTCACTTGACCTTCAAATAAATTTATTTTTAAAATGTTGTTCCAGATTATTCGGTTTCTACCAATGTGCTTGTATGATTATGATCATTTTTCTTCACTGTTTTCACTGATAACAAACTGCATTCATTATCAATGATAATCCTTTGTATTATCTGATCTTAATGATATTTAGCTTCCAAAATTATTGATTCTATTAGGGTTTTTTGAGGTATTCTGCATCACCATACAGGTGTACATGCTTATGCTTTTCATCAACATTTTGTATAGGCATTGTGATGTGCAATCATTGCACATCATGATTTGCATATCCTTTATACTTGCATTTGTAAAACAAATTATGGATTTAAAATGTTAAAGAAGTTGCATGATCAAAAATATATATTGATAAAATATCCTAATATTGTAAATGTATCGTAAAATGTATTTCGAAGATTATAGCTTATGCATTATCCTTCCATATGCTGTAATTTTGTTGTCTTTTCTTTTTAGGACGGAGAATTCTAAACTGAACATGACCATCTCTTCTACACAGTGAGTATTTCATCTAATTGCTTCAGGCTTTGTCTCAGTAATGGGTTTTTTTTCACATGATGTTTTAGATACAGCTGTATGTGCAGTCAAATACTTTTAAATCTCAGTTTAATATGTGACTTGCTGCTGCAAAAGTGGCTGGAAATTTATTTTTGAGGGTGGAGTTATATGTATTTTCTGAAAGAAATGGTTCCTAGCCTTTCAATGATGTTTACTCCAACTGCAGTTTATTACACTTGTAGTTAACTTGACTAGAACCTACTTGAATATTGTCTTACATGTATATGGCATACCTGCCAACCCTTCCGAATAATCCGGAATATTCAGTTTTGGGGGATTTCTAGGACCTGAAAATCCGGAATAATATTCAGAATTTTCAAAATTTTATTTTTTGATTTAAAAAAAAAAAAAAATTAATATTTTTTTATATATTATATTTATTTATTTTGTGCTAAAGCCAAGTTAAGCTTGTTTTATAATGTGCTGCAATTTGAGAGTTTCACATATTTTGGTACAGATTTACTGCGTATTGCCAGTTACACTGCCACTGCAAGTGTGATTTCTTATTTTCGAAGGCATACCGTGCTAAATATTCTTAATTCTTATTTTCAAATGTTGGCAGGTATGATATGGAAGCAGTCAGAAACATTGAAATTTAGAGAAAAGATTTGTTTTATTATAATAATAATAACTATTTCTAACTATTTTTCTATAACTATATGGCGCTTTTTCAGGAGGGCCCTATCAAAGCGCCTTACAGATATATATACTATTACCCCGGTCATCGGATTCAAGGCTTACCCGCACACAATGTATGCACATTCTCCACTCCCTGGGGAGCATTCCAGCCAGGCGCCATTTTTACAAGCACACACTTGCTAATCTAAGCACATTAGCTTTCGCATCCTACCGGATACCCATTTAACACCTTGGTGGAGAGTGGCAAATGTAGATCAATGTCTTGCCAAAGGACATTAGTGCTGCGGTTGGACTTGAACCGCGGACCTTGTGATCCACCGTCTGGTGACATATCCACTCGTCCACGACACCTCTACAATTATGATGATTTAAATTCTAATACATCATGGAATAACTGAACATGTATTTATCTTTATCTTCCTTTTTTGCAGAACGGAGAGGACAGTTGCAGAAAACAAACTGAAGTAAGCAATTATTGTCTTTGTCTTCTTTTTTTCCTCTTTTTTGTTATCAACTAGTGAATATCGAAATTGAGCAAGAGGTATTAGTCACTATTTGCTTGTACTTACATTTAATGTAATTTATTACCCTTCAAATTATCAATAATAACATTTATTGGACGGATTGATTTTGTAAAATCCGATTTCAAATTTTTGTCATGGGGGTTGAAATTCATTTTATGTAGATATGTGTTAGATGATATTTACTTCAAAGAATGACCTATCGGTATTACCTTTTGAAGTGTGAAAAGAAAATTGCGTACCAGGCCCTGTTTCACAAAACTTTTGATGACACTCCCGCCGTTTTGTTTGTTTAGTGTTTCTCTGTTTATTCAATTCCACTTGGAAATGGGCAGTACATTCGTTTTTTTAAGTTAATACAAAATTTGGGGAAATTTTGATAATTCGCTGGAAAGTGATTCTTTACAATTTTGATACATTTGGATGCCCCTGTGGATGTATTATAAGCACTAGAAAATTTAGTCCCTATAAAAATTTACTGGTGCTCCCAGTAAATTTTGATAAATTTCAAATAATGCCTACGACCATACAATGGTAGCTGCGACCCTGAAAATCTCAGAATATGTAGTTGTGATATATATATCATTTCCAAACGGAAATAGCTAATTGGTCGATTTTAGTCAAGAAACATTGTTTTATAGCTTATTTAATATATTGACCTTGAGAGGGAGCTATACAACATAAAGAGTTTATTTATTTACAATTTCTTAACTTAAGACTCAATTTCGACCACGACAACGATCACTGAATATTGTAGGATCGCATAACGCTTCCAATATGTTCATTTGAACGAAATTCATGACCCCTGCATACCAAAAATTTGTATTACATGTACCTTTAATATTCTGCTTGTTATTTCTACCAGGGCTGAGATTGCTTCTGTGAAGGCCAGTTTTGCTGCCAAGCAGGATGATCTGGTCAACAAGGATAAGACCATCAACCAGGTAAGTGCAGAGTGAGAGATGATGATGATGAAGATTATAGGGGTGGTGATGATGGTGATAAAGATGGTGGTGCTAGTGCTGGTGCTGGTGCTGGTGATGGTGGTGGAGGAGGAGGTGCTGGTGGAGGAGGAGGAGGAGGTGCTGGTGCTGGTGGAGGAGGAGGTGGAGGAGGAGGTGGTCGTGCTGATGGTGGTGCTGGTGGAGGAGGAGGAGGAGGTGCTGGTGCTGGTGGAGGAGGTGGAGGAGGAGGTGGTGGTGCTGATGGTGGTGCAGGTGGTGGTGGTGCTGGTGGTGGTGGTGCTGGTGGTGGAGGAGAAGGTGGTGGAGGAGGAGGAGGAGGAGGATAATATGATGATTTGATGATGATGCTGCTAAGGATGACTATAAACGAAAACCAAAGTGAACCAGATAGTTGCAATGTTGATGATGATGATGAGGTTGATGCTGAGAATGTTGGTGGTGGGGTGGTGGTAATTATGATGGGTAGGAGGAGGAGAATGAGAATGGTGGTGGTGGTGGTATAGACATTTAGGGCGATAGTGATGATGATGATGATATGGTGATGATGATGCTTTAAACTAAAGACAACAGTGAATCAGATATGCATGTAGTGGCAATAATGATAATGATGATGATGCTGAGAATGTTGGTGATGGTGGTGTGGGGGTGGTGATAATGACATTGATGGCAATAGATATGATGATGATAATAATGGATGTGATGGTAATGATGATGGTGGTGGTGGTGATGAGTTTGATGATGATGCTGCTAAGGATGATTAAAAGATAACAGTGGCGATGTTGATAATGATGGTAATGGTAATTGTGTGGTGGTAGAGATAATCATTGTGGTAATTATGACAGAAGGGAGGGTGATTGTAGTGATAATGATATTCTGTTGATCATGGATGTGTGAGAGAGAGAGAGAGAGAGAGAGAGAGAGAGAATGATTTGAAAAAACAACCAGTATTGAGAATAGAGAGAGAGAGAGAGAGAGGGGGGGGGGGGAGGGGAGTGAAAAATAAATACAAGGACTGAGAGAGTGATTTGAAAAACAACCACTATTGAGAAGAGTTTCGAGATAAAGAAGGAAGGTTAAATTCCCTTCATCATTTCTTACTCCCTCTTCAGGTGAAGAAAATCGGCCGTCGATACAAAGCCCAGTATGAGGAGGTCAAAGGTCAATTGGACAAACTTCAAGAGGAGGTCGATAAGGAGAAGACTGCGACCCCACAGCCTGACCCCGAGACAGAGGCAAAGGTCAAATCCTTAGAGGAAGAAGTTACAAGACTCAAGGAGGTAACTACAATATGTTTGGAACTGAAGTTGTTCATATATGGCATTTGTTTATATTCTCTGAATAGTAGGTCTTATTATCTGTTAGATCTACATGTTTTAGTGATGTGTGGCTTTTTATTATATTTAAATGTATATCATGATGATTTAGTACAGAGAACGAACGGTACAGCCAAGTGTGTTGTACCAAAAATCACATTGCGTTTAAAGGTACTACTGTACATGTATGTCCCATTTGCAGGCTAAAAAAATGAAAAGGTTAAATTCCAATGGTATGTGAAAGACAATACTAATTTAAAACTTCCCTCAAAACGAAAGGGCTTGAAAATGGCTTTTAGTGGGAAAATAACGACTATTATTTGTCGAATTGACTTAAATGATTGCAATCACCTAAATAATAGTCTGATTTTCAGACCTTTGTACCGAATGGTTGTACAGATTCAATCAGTTTAATTTTGGCCATTACAAGTAGTGGATTATTGATGTAGACAAATGCTCATGTACATGTACATGTACCTGTTACAGCTCATTTTATGTACATGTATGTAATATTACCTAAGAAAAAAAAGATGTCATTCAGTCACTCAATAGTGTCTGACAGTGAAGTCTACAAGGTACATAAACAGGTTTCCTTGCATAATTTGACATAGCATCTTTAAGGGGCTGTACTTACAGCCCATTTTGATTGTATCAAAGCTGCTTGCTATATTAAAGAGTGTATGAAGTACAAATGTGTTAACATGAACAGCTGTTTTGTTCCAATGTGAATTTTAATGAAATGTTTGATAATTTGTTTTCTTTTATGCCTCCTCCGTGACTTTTCAGCAAAACACTCAGTTGAAGTCAGCAGAAGAATCAGCCAAGGTAAGACTCTTTTTTTCTTTTTTTTTCTTCCTCCTCTCTCTTCTTCTTTGTCTACTCTCCTTCTCTTTATCATGCTTCTTCATCTTCTTCTTCTTCTTCTTCTTCTTCTTCTTCTTTTTTTTTGAGGGGGGGGGGGGGGGTTAGAATTTGTAAACAAGTAGGAATATGTCATTTACAATCAGAGATCACTGAAGGTATGGAAAATCTCCCATTTACAATGCATTAATTATAGATATCTCATACTTTGATATGTACAAACAATCAATCACAATGTATTTTATTCATTTCTTTTTTATTATCAGTTTTGAAGGTAGGACAGAACTTTTGTTTATGATAACTTATGGATAAGACAGTGATCTAAAAAAAATTATTAAAAAAAAATTAATACCAATAATGTTATTATTAAGAGAAAAATTCTATAAGGTTGAATTTCCTTTGAAAAGTACATGTACACTTATGTGTGTCTTTTTCCTTCAAAAATGCATTCTATGATAAATGATCATAACATAATATATTGTTGATCTTTGACTTAATACTTACCTTAACAATGTTATTTTCTATAATTGCAGGCTTTCCAGACCCAGCTCACTGAGAAAGAGGAACATATCGAGAGGTCCAAGAAACTGATGCAGAATGTTAGGCAGAAAATCAATAACCTCAGTGGTACGTGATCAAAGACATACAATACAAATAATAATAATAATGATAATAACAATAATCTGGATTCATATAGCACTTTTGATAAAGCAGGACTGCACTACTTGTAGCTACTTGCGCCCTCTGTATAGCCAACAATGCCTAAGCGCTACCCATTGGTTCCCCATGATCCGCTTTTTCTTATGTTAATTGAGAGCTGATTTGATGAGATAACCACTTGCCAGTGACCTTGCTGGGAGGTCTAAACCCTCCTGGCGCTTACAAATACAAATATATAAAAAAGAGGACAAAAAATGTGCACAGGAAGTAGATCACATAGATCACTCGGGGGAAAATGTAATTTTTGAGGGATCTTTTAAAGGTGGCAAGATGCATAATTTCCCTTATGGAATGAGGGATGCTGTTCCAAGTCTTTGATGCAGCTACTTGTTTTTCAGCTGCTGAGAGTCTAGATTTGGGAATGATAAGTTTACATGTGTCTGTTGCTGAGCGAAGATTTCATTTTATTTTCATCTACCTTCCTCTCGTCTCAGCCGACAAGGAGAAGTCGACGGCCGAGAACAACCGGTTGAAGAGTCAGATGGATGAGCTAAGAGGAGAGATCTCGGCAATCAGCGGTCTCATGAACCAGCAGGAACGCAGCCAAGCCACCCAGAAGACGGAGTACGAAGGGCGCATCCAAGAACTACAGAGGGAGCTCGAGGATAGTCGACAAACCCTGGTAATGATTATTTTTTCCTCAGAATTTGTGATAATAGTCAGTACTGTTTAGAAATTAGCAAGTGACTTCACTGTCTTTTAAAAAAATTCATTTTGTATCATGTGCTCAAGTCACTCTTATATTACACTGGCTGTAGCTAGGCAACCGACTTTGGTGCTCACATTATTCAAGGAATTTCTTGAAAAATAATGCTTGAAGGTACTACATGTATGTCCCATTTGCAGGCCCAACAAATGAAAAGCTTAAATTCCAACGTCATTTGAAAGATGATACTAAGTTGGAATTTCCCTCAAAACGAAAGGGCTTGAAAATGTCTTTTAGTGGGAAAAATAAGGAGCATTAGTTGTCGAATCGACTTAAGTGATTGCCATCATTTTAGTAATAGTCTGATTTTCATACCCTTTTACTTATGGTTGTATGTTTTGTGCTGCGCAAAGATTAATCAGTTTAATTTTGGCCTTGACAAGAAGTGGGTTATTGATGTAGACAGAAGAATAATCTGTGAGTGAATTACTAACATCCTTTGTTCTCTCTTGTCCAAGCAACGAGCCCTTGAGGAGCAACAGCACCAGGAACAGGTGAGAGAGATGCAGCCCCTGATCGACCAATCAGATCAGACGTTACTCAGTCAACCAGGGACATCGGGAACATCGGACAGGCAGAGGTGAGGTTTTGACTCAAAGCAGTTTTCCAAGATTAATCTAAAAGATATTTGATCTCCCACATTGATTTTAGTCTTGGCCCTGTCTTATAAAGATTCGGATTGGAGGATAAAAAAATGAGAAAGATGGTGTTCTTTTGGATAGAAATCTAAATTGGTGTTTGATGATTATTTCAGATATTTAGGTATAGACTTGTGTACAGATTTGCAAAAATTGGTAATTCACAATTATAATGGAAAATGTAAAGAAATCAGAAGTAAAATGACATCGTGGTTAAGGCGATACTTAACTGTTCTTGGGAGAGTCACTGTCCTTAAATCATTGTTGGTATCCAAATTAAACTACCTTATTTTTTCTCTCCCCAAGCCAGGTGAAAATCTTTTGAAAGATATAAATGCTCACTTTTATAGATTTATATGGGGGGAGAAACCTGATAAAATATTAAAGTAGAAATCAATTGTCACAAAGTTATGCAGATGGAGTGGTCAAAATGATAGATATATACACACATTGCAGGGCTTAAATTAATCCAAGGCCACCAAGGCCATGGCTGTGGATGCCCCTTTGATTGGCCTCAATGCCCCTCTCATTGGCCTTGGAGATTTTCTGTGCGCTTTCCAAATCTTCATATTTGTGCTGTAATATAGGAATGTGCCCTACAGAAAAGTGGCCTTGCCCTAAAAATATTGAAATTTAAGGCCAATCATTAAACATTTTCTGGATTAAGAGATTGGTAAATGGCCCAATTGATCGTGATATCCTCTGTCTTAGTAATGTTTCTTGCGTGAACCGCATGATTTAAAACTATATATGGGAAACAGTTATTTTCGGGAACTGGCAGGTAAAAACAAAGAACCGTTTTGGAAAGAAATGTTCATGGCTTATAGTACACTCTTATCCACGCATTGCGATAACATTTCCTGCCAACCCTTATGGAATAATGATTACTAACTATAACAATCTTGTTTTTTTTAACACCCAAAGTACTTCCAGGGAAGAGGCCCCGCCCACTGCCAACATCCGACCAATGGCATCGCCCGCCTCGTCCGTTGGCCAATCTAAAGGCACCTCCTCTCAGAGCACTGCCAAAGTGACGGCCAGCATCCGCCCCATCGCTGTTACCAGAATACAGACCGGTGTCAACTTCATCACCACCATGACCACGCCCACTACCATGGTGACGCCCATGGCAACCGTCATGCCCCAGACTGTAGAGGCTCCGGTGGCCGATCAGGGCTCCGAACAAGAAGGTTACTATCAACCAATTCTTTACCAAAAATCTTATTTTTTTCAAATGCTTTTTCAAATGTCATTGAATTAAACAAATCTGTCACCAAGAAAAACATTTGAAGAAGGTGACTATGAACCCATTCTTTTTAAAAAAATCTTGTTTTTTCAAATGTCATCAAATTTTAAAAATCTCTCACTAAGAAGAAAATGTCAGGGATTTTTTTTAATGCTTAGAACTTTTTCCATGCCAATGGCATCAAATGCTCCACAAAATTCTGAATTGAAAACTAGAATTTATTGTGAACTTTATTTCCAAGAAAGAGGCCAGGGGGGTGTTTCACAAAGAATAAGATTGACTTAAAGTTGGACTTAACTATGGCAGGCCGTTCATGACACTGTTTGCTCTCACCATTTACTGGCATTGGTCTATCAAGGGACATACAAATCATGGTCACAAATCTACAAAATTTACATTATTTGATAATTCATTATCAAAGCAAATATATTATCTAAAGATCATAATGGTAAGAGGAAGCAGTGGCATGGATGACCTACCATAGTTAAGTCCAACTTAAAGTCAATCTTAGTCTTTGTGAAACACTTTCCTAATATTGTAATGAAAAATTAATAAAATATCAAACCTTAACTCTTCAAAGTTCTTTTCTGGCAAATTTTGTACACTGAATGAAGTGATGGGGGTTAAGAAATGAGAAATGATTTGATGATTCTGGTTTTCTCCTCTGCTTCTTTCTCTGCATGTTTCACAGATTCCAACGACCAGCCATTCCAGCAGGACACCCCAGTCGCCCCCATCGCTCCGGCCACGCCCATCCAGGCTGTCCAGCCCACCCAGCAGACCCCGCCCACTGCACAGACTGCGCCTACTCAGCAGACTGCACCCATGGCTGTAGCAGAGCGACGGACAACTGACCAGGAACCTCAAGGACAAGAGAGTCACAGGGATGACGATACAGGTGAGTATCCTAAGTTGGACTTAACAATTATGGAAAGCCGTTAGCATCCATGAAAATATTTTGTAAAATTTATTTTAAAAGGAATGAAATGTTGATTCAAATCATTCATATTTCTTATTATCAAGGAGATTTCATGTTCTTGATGTGCAATCTATACAAAATCTAAAATACTTCAATTTTTGCTTTTGAATATGTTTTCTATAAGGCTACAAATGGCTCTCCTTAATGTTTAAGTCCAACCTAGAGTAAAGTTTGACTTAGGATCTTTGTGCAACATCCCCAGAATGGGCATTTAATCTACAACAGCCTCTCTCTATCCAGGTGTAACATACATGTACCTGTAGCTACAAACCAGTCCCAATTGGGGGATGAATATAAGCATACAAAGTATTGATAGACTATAAGTTGAAAGACTCCTAATTTTTGCTGTGAAGGTGTTTAGTAGGTTTTTAGTATTAAAAGGGTTAATACCAAGAACAGAGAAACAGCTGGAAGAATTTGAGCAGTTTCTTCAGTAACATTTAATGTAAAAATAGCAATCAAAAACATCCTTAATGTACGCCATTGGCAACAATTGCCATTCAAAGTAAGTGACTGGATCTAAATAATAAGGCTACTGTATACAAATCGCTCATGGTCAACATTACTAGTGTTCTCCTCTTTTTAATTCTCCAGGACCTTCAGGTGGTCAGACAGGAGGGTCATCGTTGTCACCGGGCAGTGCTGCATCCAAGAGACCAAGGGATGACCCAACAGAAGGGTAAGATGACCGTTGACTAGCCTTTGATACTCTTAATGATAATAATAAGAATAATAATAATAATAATAATGGCTTCTTATATAGCACATATGCCCGTCACGTCGTTACCTCCTGGCGCTGCCCCGATTATTACCCTGGCTTTAGCAAGGCGGCCATTACGGCACTGTAGCATTTCAAGGAATTAATTCCTGCCAGGTACCCATTTACATCACCTGGGTTGAGTGTGGCAAATGTAGATCAATGTCTTGCCAAAGGACATTAGTGCCGCGTTGGGACTCGAACCGCGGACCTTGTGATCCACAGTCCGGTGACGTATCCACTCGACCACGACACCTCTACATAAGACATTCAGTCCAAGCTAAAGATGGAGATTTGCACGATCTTATGCTAATACTTTAGCACACGAAACCAAACCCCACTTTAAAACCATGGAGCCAGAGAATCAAATGTAGAAGCACCCTTTAAGTGAAATCTCATTTTTGCATCCAGTATTGACCCTGTAAAGCAGGATTGCTTAACTTGTAGTGACTTGTGCCCTCTATATAACAAACAATGCCTAAGTGGTGCCTGTTGGTCCCCCATGATCCCCTTTTTAATGTTAATTGAGAGCTGATTCGATAAGGTAACCACCATGGTAAGGTATTCACCTGTCAATGACCATGCAGGGAGGTCTAATCCCAAACTAGTGCAGACATGCTTTAAAGGTTGTTACAGCCATTTGCAGGCTGCGTGGATTCGATATAGAATGTGCACAATGTCTTCTTGCAATCGCTTGGGGCGATCGGGCTTTCTCAGCAATGGGTCCAAAACTCTGGAATAAGCTCCCTCTACAAATACGCCAACCGTCGTCAACAGAAACATTCAAATTACGACTGAAAAACTTATTTGTTTCTTTCGATGTAAATATTGCAATATTCTAATTAACCATGTCTAGGAGAATTTCGATTTTTTTTTGTTTTTGTTTATTGTTTTTTCTTTCTTATGTCTGTTACATGTTTGTAAGCGCCATGGGCACCGAAAGGTGGACCTGTGCACTATACTAGTAGCCACTATTATTATTATTATTATTCTACAAATGTTGAATTTCTTGTACAGGGACACAACCACATCGGAGAGAGAGGGACTGCCGCCTAACGAGAAGAGGCAGAGGGTAGCCCCACAACCGGTGAGGATATCCTCTGGATTGTAAACATGACAAGAATTAAATTATGACCGATGTATCGAGGCACTTCAGAGAAACTATCTGTGTATGAGCAGATAAAATGTATCTGTACAAAACTGTAAAACCCATCGAGATGAGTGCTGGATAGGTGTTGATGAAAGTTATGTAATCATTATTCATTTATGCACTGATGGTATGATCTAATATGCAAAGGAAGTATTCTTTTCAGGAGGTTAAACAAAAGTCATTCATGATGCCCCTCCATCACTTTGGCAGTGATTATTCTAAAATGCACAGAGACTTGGTAACATTGTTCAGATAAGAGAAAATGGTGCTAAGGTAGTGACTTCAATGCTAGATGTACAATTAAAGATAATCTGAAAGTTTGAGTGTAAGCAAACCATTATTAATGATAAAAATTGGATAAAACTGATCTGATCTTTTCCTTAATTCTCCCAACTATATTATTAAAATTTTTATTACATTTTAGGTGAATGTGAATTGTCATAAAGCAATGAATTGGCTCTATATGCTATTTCATACATTTAAGTGTTGACAGATTTTTTAACGCCTGCTGAGCAAGCTACATTAGCATCCTGCCAGGTACCCATTTAACATCTGGGTGGAGAGAGGTAAATGTAACGTCTTGCTTAGGGACGTTAGTGCCGGGCCGAGCTGGGATTTGAACCCTGTACCTTGTGATCCACTAATTTCCGCGTTGTGCTTTTCTCTTAAAAAAACATGCAGCAAGTCAGCAGGGATGAACCCGAGGAGGAGAAAGAAGATGAGAAAGATGAGAAGACTGAGCAGACGAAAACGGAGACGACGACCACCACTACCACCACCACCCACACCAACGCGGTGCACGATGTGGAGACGGAGGCAACCCAGGAGGTCGAGGCTGAGACACAGTTTGAGATAGAGACAGCAGCAACGCAAGAAGTGGGTAAGTCACTCACGTCTAGCGAGCTTTGCAATTGTTGCTAATTTGAAGGCAATAAGTGATCAATTTAGCCCTGATAATGAATCCTGACCTAAAAGAGTTTAAGATAGAGACAGCAGCAATGCAGGAAGTAGGTAAGTCACTCAAGTCTAGCGAGCTTTACAATTGTTGCCAATTTGAAGGACAATAAGTGATCAATTTAGCCCTAATAATGAATCCTGATCTAAAAGAGTTTGAGATAGAGACAGCAGCAACGCAGGAAGTAGGTAAGTAACTCAAGTCTAGCAAGCTTTGCAATGCAAAATATAAGTGTTGCCAATTTGAAGGACAATAAGTGATCAATTTAGCCCTGATAATGAACCCTGATCTATAAGAGTTTGAATTAGAGACAGCAGCAACGCAGGAAGTGGGTTAATCACTGACGTCTAGCAAGGTTTGATAATAATAACAATAGTTTGTTCTTATATAGCGCATTTCAGGACTGCAGGCTCTCTCAAAGCGCTTTACAGAAATATTATTACCTTGGTCATCGGATTCTAGCTCACCCCCACACAATGTATGCACATTCTCCACTCCCTGGGGAGCATTCCGATGCATTGATTGGTGGGATGATGTATGCTTGGAGCCAAAGCTTCATATAGGACGATTGTGACAATTATGCCACATTTTGTGGTCTGGCTCACTAACTTTTGATTCAGGATCCTTAAAAATAAGCCAGATACATGAGTAGAAAGGGCAAACATCTCTGCACATACTGCATCCGTTTTTGTTTCATGACTATCTTGCGTTTAAAGGTAAAGACCAGTATTGGAAACGCCCCAATTTCCAAAAATTAAATGGAAGCTCTTATTACCAATCATGTGAAAGAATATGTTTTGAATAATACATGATGATAAAAATTTTGCCAGGAAACCGATATATTGGGTAAATTAGTTTATCTATTGGCCTGTGAGAGATAAAAACGCATGTGTCACGCACGTGTGCGTAGTCCTATATACATCTTTCTGTGTACAGTGCTTGTAACTTTATGAAGACTGGGCCAAATTTCTTATCATTTTGATGATTCCAGAACCTTGCAGTACATCTATGCTAGATAATCAACCTTTCCTGATCGATTTCACAACGTTTCTTTCACAATGAACCTTTCCTGATCGATTTCACAACGTTTCTTTCACAATGCAATCTGTCAAACAACTGTGAGAGATAAAAACGCATGTGTCACGCACGTGTGCGTAGTCCCATATACATCTTTCTGTGTACAGTGCTTGTAACTTTATGAAGACTGGGCCAAATTTCTTATCATTTTGATGATTCCAGAACCTTGCAGTACATCTATGCTAGATAATCAACCTTTCCTGATCGATTTCACAACGTTTCTTTCACAATGCAATCGCATGACCATAACTGGTCTTTGTCTTTAATGTCAGGTATTTTCAACATCAAAAAGTAAGCTCTAAAGCCCTTAAATTGGCAACGCATTGAGAAATTCAAAATGATTGTTTACTGAAGGATTACTGAATATAACAGAGAAGATATGCCAAAAGTTTGCACCAAGAACAACACAAAAAAAATCCTTCGGCTCCGCCATATTATTCCTTTTACAATTCCAGCTCAAAACATTTGTTATCAAGCAATGTTGTGGTGAGCGTTCAGTGTGTAGGTTAGTTTTATTCAACTCACTCCTAGATGCTAATCAAATGGTTGGTCATGCGCGCTTACGTTCGATTCATTTACAGAGACTATCACACGTTTTTTCATGAAAGGCGTGCAATAATTTCCAGTACTATTGCACGCCTTTTTTTTTAGTGCGTGTACAGGATGCGCAGTAATGCGTGTATAGGTTAGGGCGCTTATACTGCGTGTGGGCCTATTCTTGCGCAGCACTATGCATAAATGTGCGCTTATCTATGTGTGCGCACTAAATTAAGCCCATTAAACTTGAGGATTATTTGTCAGCCATACTGTCACAAAAAAATCTTGAAGGAAAGCTTTATACATCAAATAACAAGGATCTAGGAGTTCCGTTGTATAAAACAAATGATGCATTTTTTCATTCGCTCATTATACGATCTTTCGGCCTTTGTTGAGGCTGTGTGTATCTATGTGTGTATCTGTGTGTATCGATAGATACACACAGCCTCATCTCGAGTGCAGATAGATAGTATAATGAACTTGTGCGCATGCATCATTTGTATACTAACATATGTCTCCCTCCATTTTCAGAATCCCAACCAGTGACAGAGACGAGGGTATTGGAAGTCTCCCCGACCGAGCAGCAGGCCACCGAGGAGAGGCAGGATGAGGAGACGGGAGAGAAAAAGTTAGATGATGTGGTCATCGTTGTCGACAGCGACGAGGTGAGTTGATGGGGAAGACGAGGAAGATGATAGTGGTGTGGATGATGATGAAGATGATGATGATGATGTTAATGATGATGCTGATGATGCTTGGGGTTGATTCACTAACAGCTACATGTAAAATGTAACCAGCCCCAAACACTGAATTTTATTTTGTGGTGAAAGTCATTTGCAGTCTCTGTTGCTTGGAACCAGTAGCCTGGACGATGAGCCCATATAACGTCAGCACTTTGGTACTCTATACAAAAGGATAATTATAAATCGAAAATAATATTGCTAGTGATATTCATTTGTCTCGCAATGTATGGTCAACAAGGGATCTAAAAGATCACAACGTTTTGTGTGCCGCTGCAACACTTCGGCAGGTGATAAAATATGATGTAAGCAAGTGTGTTTTATACTCTACTACATCCGCAATGAGTAATATATTTAGCACTGATAATTATATAATTGTACATGTTCCTGTAGTTAAGAACATCACTGACCATTTAAGACAAATCACCATCTTTACAGGATACTGGTGGTCTGGACTCAGGCCAGGACCAGGGTGACCAGCAAGACGAGGATGCCGATGGCGATCTCGAAGGGGAGGAGGAGGAGGAGGATGATGAAGACGATGACGAGGTCGATGATGATGAGGAGGAATTTGAAGGTGATATTGGGGAGGAGGATGGAGAGGAGGACGATGCCTTTGAAGAGGCTCAGGGAGAGGAAGTGGACGTCGAATATGATGAGGTAAGTACTGTATTTTTTTGTAATGCGATTTTCTTGATGTTTATGTATTTCTTGACATGTTATAGAGCTGCCTACCAGTAAGATTTTATTGTATATTGTACGATTTTTAGAAGTAAAGAGGACAGTACGATTTTTATGCCTCCGTTACGAAGTAGCCGGAGGCATTATGTTTTCGGGTTGTCCGTCCGTCCGTACTTACGTCTGTACGTCTGTACATACGTACGTCCCGTTCTTGTGATCGCGTTATCTGAAGAACCGATCGATGGATTCCTGCCAAACTTTGGTCATGTATGTATCTTGCAGAGCCGATGAACTGATTAGATTTTGGGGTCACGAGGTCAAAGGTCAAAGGTCACAGGGCTCATTAGGTATGCAAAAACAGCTCGTGATCGCGTTATCTGAAGAACCGATTGATGGATTCCTGCCAAACTTTGGTCATGTATGTATCTTGCAGAGCCAATGAACTGATTAGATTTTGGGGTCATGAGGTTAAAGGTCAAAGGTCACAGGGCTCATTATGTATGCATAAACAGCTTGTGATCGCGTTATCTCAAGAACCGATTGATGGATTGCTGCCAAACTTAGGTCATGTATGTTACTTGCAGAGCCGATGAACTGATTAGATTTAGTGGTCATGAGGTCAAAGGTCAAAGGCCACAGCACACATTATGTATGTAATAACAGCTTGTGATCGCGTTATCTGAAGAACCGATCGATGGATTCCTGCCAAACTTTGGTCATGTATGTATCTTGCAGAGCCGATGAACTGATTAGATTTTGGGGTCACGAGGTCAAAGGTCAAAGGTCACAGGGCTCATTAGGTATGCAAAAACAGCTCGTGATCGCATTATCTGAAGAACCGATTGATGGATTCCTGCCAAACTTTGGTCATGTATGTATCTTGCAGAGCCAATGAACTGATTAGATTTTGGGGTCATGAGGTTAAAGGTCAAAGGTCACAGGGCTCATTATGTATGCATAAACAGCTTGTGATCGCGTTATCTCAAGAACCGATTGATGGATTGCTGCCAAACTTAGGTCATGTATGTTACTTGCAGAGCCGATGAACTGATTAGATTTAGTGGTCATGAGGTCAAAGGTCAAAGGCCACAGCACACATTATGTATGTAATAACAGCTTGTGATCGCGTTATCTCAAGAACCGATTGATGGATTCCTGCCAAAATTAGGTCATGTATGTTACTTGCAGAGCCAATGAACTGAGTAGATTCTTGGTTCATAAGGTCAAAGGTCAAAGATCATGGGCTCATTATGTATGCAAAAATAGCTTGTGAACGCATTCTCATTAGAGCTGACAGATGGATTACTATTTAACTCAGGACATCTTGCAGAGCCAATGAACTGAGTAGATTTTAGGGTCATGAGGTCAAAGATCAAAGGGTCATATATGTATATGAGAAATTGCTTGTAATCACGATATTCTGAGAACCTGTCAATGGATTACAATTGAACTTGAATCCGAAAAATTTCTTCTGTTTTGGTTTGTAAAATTGCTCTATGACGGAGGCATCATTTTCGACTGCGCGCAGTCGAATTCCATCTAGTTCCTCAATAAAATGGGATTTTCAACAACAAAAAACAACAACAATTTTTCTGAAAATTTGAATGTGTTTGTGTATATTGTGTGTACATTTCAATGGCAAATTGCCCATTCTCTCCTGTTACGTATCCTACAAGCATCTCTCATCAGCAATTTAGGGATGTTCATTGAATGATTATTCATGAGGAACTCTTGCATATTCAACAAAATGTTTGTAAAATGTACTCATGCATTATTCTTCAAAATGTTGACCAACAGAGTCTGATAAAAAGAAAGTACTTATCGATAAAAAAGAGGATTTTTATTTTGAAAATAGGATTTTTTTTTTTTTTTTTGATTTTTTTTGGAGGGGGGAGGGGAAGAATAAGGACTTTTGTTCAGTTGGGGTTGGCAGCTCTTGATGTTACAAGTTACCACAAAATACTGACAGTTGAAACCTGTGATATCGATAAATTTGATAAAAATGAACGAGCTGTCTCGGGTTGAAAATGTGATTTTTCATGGTTTTGTTACATTCAGAATCTGTGATAATTCATCCACCCTTTGTCTGATTTGTTAGACTCGAATATGTACAAAAAAAAATCTGGAATCATTGAGTATCTAGAGGCATCATTTTTGCAACTACTAAAATCCCTTGAAATTCTTAATTCTCCTTGTTTGATGTTTAATTTGTTTATGTCTGGAGTATGCGCAGTGAAACCAAAATACGTATTCACATCATTCTATCTCCCTCTTTCTTTTTCTTGTCCCGCTCTCTCTCTCTCTCTCTCTCTCTCTCTCTCTCTCTCTCTCTCTGTCTGTCTCTCTCTTTCTCTCTCTCTCCCCCTCTCTCACTCTCCCTCCTTCCCGTGAAACCAAAATACGTATTCAGATCATTCCCATCTCCCTCTTTCTTTTCCTTGTCCCCCTCTGTCTCTCCCTCTCTCTCTCTCTTCCTCCCTCTCTCTCCCTCCCTCCCTCTCTCTCACTCTCTCCTTCTTCTCACTTATCTCCATCTGTACCTTTTATCTCTCCTTCCTCATCTCTTTGATTGACCAATAAATAAATAAAATACAATAAAATAATGGCTTTGATTGTCTTCCATCCTAGGATGAAGAAGTGGAAGAAGAAATGGACGATGATGAAGAGGAAGAGGAAGAAGAAATGGAAGATACTGGAGAGGACAATGGAGAGAACATGGAAGATGATATTGTTGAGATTATAGGTAGGTCTTAAAGCCCCGCAGGGATTAGACCTCCCCGCATGGTCACTGACAGGTGGTTATCTCATCAAATCAGCTCTCAATAAACATAAGAAAAAGGGAATCATGGGGGATCAATGGTCACCGATAAGGCATTATTTGCTAGATAGAGGGTGCAAGTAGCTATAAGTGATGCAGTTGGGCTTTAACTCTTTCAGGACAGGATTGATTTTTAGGGCTAAATTGATCACACATTGTTCTTCAAATTGGCAACAATGATGTTTTCTTTTATCGCTACAATGATAGAATAACTGCAATGTCTCTGAAAATATTATACACAGGCGGGAATGTTGTCGAAATATTTCAAAAATGGTCAGTTTTCTTTGAAGAACAATCATTTTAATCTCTCAACCTGCTGCCAATTTAAGGATTTTAAAACTTATTTTCCTTTTTAAATTTCCTAGCATCAAATCCACCATGTACTGATGAAACAAAAATGGATGCAATGTGTGCAGAAATTTTTCGCCCTGTCTACTCGTGTATGTGGTAAATTTTTAGGCCACTGAATCAAAAGTTATGGAGCCAAACCACAAAATGTGGAATGATTTTGCGAAAGGAATATTAAAACCATTATGTAGCTATAATAATTCCCTGAATTATTTGTGGCGCACATGCCCAAAGGAAATTAACTTTGTACTAATTTTCCTTTCAGCCGTAATAGATTGGCATTTCCAACCTTCGTACCCTTTCATCATCAATAATTGGATTGTTCTATTTAGTTTAGTTGGGAATTGGGATGGTGTTATGCCTTCTAACTGAATTGTGTATCATGATCAAAAGTTTCCATTACCAATGTATATTTTTGTTCTTGTTTTGTTATGTATAATTATACTATTTTACTATTCATTAATTTGTTTATCGTTTTACATTTCAATTTCTTTATTTCATTTGTGAAGCAGCTTTTTGTATGTAATTAAGAGACTTCCCTGTATAAAGAACGTATATTAATATAAATGCTATAAATTGCTATAAATAGATAATGATAAATGAAATTCATTTTTATTTGGTCTCCCTGGCTAAGTAGTTTGATCCTTATCCATAAATGGCTATTATTTTATACTCTTTTGGCATTATGCATTTTTAAACACTTTTGAAATGTATGAAACAACATTAAGATTTAGATATGTTACACAGAAAAATGAAAGCACTGAAGAAAAAATGTCTGGAACTGAATATGAACAATTTCTATTTGATATCGACTTCGATATAGATGACGATGACCAGGGTGCAGAGGTCGCGTCGGAAATGGACACTCACAGCTCCGACCAGCAGAGCGAGGTGCCCCAGCCCATGGAGGCCCAACAGATACTGAGGGTGCCCCCTCCCCAGCTGAGGGTGGTGCCCCCGGAGCCCACCCCAACCAGTAGCAGTCAGGAGTCCACCACCCATGTCCCTCACCTTCAGGTTAGTAGACAGTAGAGGCATCTGTACATAGATAAACTCACAATTACAAAAAAAGGTAAATAACATTCAAATACATACACATACAAACCATATAGAATTTGGCTTATGTTATGTTTCAATTGCAAAGAAATAGTTTGGTGAATTTTGCTATCGAATTGATGACATCATCATAAGTATAATACGCATATTCACAATGACTTTGCAAAAATTAAGCACGGCTCATCGCCTCAGCTATATAGGCGAGCCAATCGGGGGCACAAATAATGTCGTCACTGTAACTGTGGCAAATTTGACCCCTGTTGACCTGTAATTTGGAGAGGTGCGGAAATAAGGTTTTAATTTGCTTTTGTGCAATGCTGAAATGAAATTTCAATGATTTTGAATTCCTTTATATTTGTACTGTATGTTCATTCAGCTTTCCATTGATAAAAAGTTGTCCATCGATAGGGTCTTTAAGGTTCTAGACATTGTTTATAAACAAAGTCTTGACAAAACATTCCTTCCATATTTGTATACCACCATTAGAATAATGATATAGGATATTTTCCAAAGTACGGTTTTCTAAATGTATATGAATTTTTTCTTTACAGCGTCACAGCATGAGGACAGAGAGACTTGGCTCTCATGGAAGATTACCTCCCTTCTCATTGGTAAGCTCAACCTTTGACCTTTGACCTTTCAGCTTTATTACCAGTACATTGAATGTAAACCTGTTGACTGCTGGATTCTTTCATTCCCATAGACTTAATACAGGAACCATCCGGTTCCAGTAGACATTGGGTTAAAGGGATTAGGCATCTTGGCCTTAGGCTCTAAACAAAATCCTTGATTTAGCTCATGCTGCAATCATAATCATAATTATAAACCTTTAGGTCAGTCAGGAATCCCATGACTTTTACAAGCCAATCGCTTGTCTGATTATCAAGATATTTATGATTGGAATTCGAAATTTAAAAACCGTTTTCCCACCGGTTTTTATAACACTACTGTCTTTTGGGGAAATTAGTATGGCAAAACCGGTCATTCAAAGATTTTTACTTTTTTGAGGCACTTCATGATCATTTTGAAGCGCCAATTTCTTAGGGCTTCAATATCACACCATATCACAAACACTATTAACACGTAGGGCCATGCATCTCAGATTTTTAAAATGGGAAACATTATTTAACAATGCCTCTAACACAGGGTTAAAGGGCCCATGACATCGAAATACAAGTGTATTCCTTTTGGTGTGCAGTCCTGCATACATCTCATATTTTGATATTTAAACTTCTGAATTTGTTTTATAGCTTTTTAAATATTTTTTGAAATATTTGTTTTTCAAACTTGCTAAGCTCCACCCCCAAAACCTCCAGATCTCATTCCCCTTGTGACAGCATTCTGTCAGTCATCAATGAGCTAACTTGAGAAAGTGGTATGTAACTTTGCCAAAGTTGACCACCTGTTACAATACCACAAAAAATAGCAACATATAAGTTGCTATGTCAGACATGTCAGACTAAACTAATATTCTAGAATAGACAATGGTATGTAATTTCCCCCAGCTTTGCACCCGTTCATAATAGAATTGCATGCTTCTATACATATGTACAATACATCATCATTGCCTTTGTCTTCCTGGTGATGCTACAGCATGTCTGACATAGCAACTTATATGTTGCTATTGTATTACGTATTTTAACAGGTGGTTGACTTCGGCAAAGATGCATACCACTTTCTCAAGTTAGCTCATTGATGACTGACAGAATGCTGTCACGAGGGGAATGAGATCTGGAGGTTTTGGGGGTGGAGCTTAGCAAGTTTGAAAAACAAATATTTCAAAAAATATTTAAAAATCTATGAACCAAATTCAGAAGTTTACATATCAAAATATGTGATGTATGCAGGACTGCACACCAAAAGGAATACACTTGTATTTCGATGTCATGGGCCCTTTAATGCCCTTCTGGCTCTGACAAGATGATGTTTGATAAGCTATCATTTATCTAAACATACAGTCAACTACTAAATTATTCATACCCTTACCAGGTTTTGAAAAAAATTGAAGTATGCGAAAACAATTCTAGTTTCTTGAGAATGTGACATATTAAAGCTTACATCTATAAGACCCTAATTCAAACAGTCCACCTTTCATTCTTTAGTTACAAAAAAAAAAAAAAAAAAAAAAATTACAGTTGTACAAGGGGTATAAATAATTTAGTTCTTGACTGTGCTTCTTTAACTCTCACCCAGCTACCTGGTATACAAGAAAAGTAATGGTTTTGTATGTACATGTAACCTGTCAATTTGTTGGGTTTACTCACTTTTAGCTTCCGTCCGGTGGGGGAATTCCCTTTGAGGATGTGAATGACGATGGCCAGGTCCCTAGTACTCCAACTCTGTTTGTACCTCACAGAGGAACCGATGGATTCGCAGAGGCTATCAAGTATGTCACAATTGATGATGATGATGATGATGGTGGTGGTGGCGGTGGTGGGGGTGGTTGTGGTGGCGATGGTGTTAAGAATGACATTGATGATGATGAGGATGATGATAATGATGATTAAGATGATTAAGATGATTAAGATGATGATTAGGAGGATGAAGAGGAGAAGGAGTAGCAGGAAAATAATGACTGAAGATGTGAACGATGATGGCCACGGCCGGTATTCAATTCAATACTTAGCATAAGTAAGAAATTTACTAAGTAAATGGCTAAGTTAAGTAATTTACTTATCTCGTATTCAAATCGGATTTTAGACTTATACTTACGTAAGACAAAATCTAAGTAAAATCCTTACTGATAAGCATTGTGACGTCACACGGTAATGCGCAATTGATGCATTGCAATAAATGCGCGCTGATATAATTGTGCGCAGGTTATAATACTGCGTAAGAAAACCATATGCCTGCCAATCAATGCCTCCAAATAATTGGCTTAAGTCTGGTATGGAGTTGGCTTAGATTTAGAGTCAAAAAGTGTGAATTGAATACCATAATTAGCTAAGTATTTTATCTAAGTCAAATACTAAGTAAAAAGCTTAAATTTTGTACTTAAGTATTGAATTGAATATGGGCCCAGGTTCCCAGTACTCCTACTCTGTTTGTACCGATGGATTCACAGAGGCTATCAAGTATGTCTCAATTAATAATGATGATGATGATGGTGGTGACAGTATTGAAAGATGATGAGGATGATGAAGATAATGAAGATGTTGATGATTAGGAGGAGGAGGATAGTATATGACTGAGAATGTCCAATGTCCAACTTTGTAAAAAGTCACTGAACACAAACTCCAATCTCCTTTTCCACTTTCAGCTCCCCTCTGCTTCCGGTCCGATTCCACTTTGAGGGCGATAGTAGATCACCTGCCCAGGGCCTAGCCCAGCTGGCAACACAAGGAGGTAAGACTGACCTAATCCACCTGCCCGTTCTTACTTTTTCTGGAGGAAGAAATCCACACTGAGATTGAACTTGATGTTGTTTTTAGCAGATCAGTAAAGAAAAAAAAAAACAGATCGGTGGAAGTTTGAGAAGACTTCAGAGAAAGAATAAGAAAGTTTTTTTTTTTTTTTTGTTTAACTATAACGACTTATTAATTCTCTGTGCCTCATGTACTCTATTTGATGAAAAATTTCCTTCATTACCAATCTTTCAAAGGACAAAAATATGTTTCTTTCTTACTTTCATGATTGGACTATTTAACCCTTACTGGGAGGCCCCCCCCCCCCCCCCCCCCCTGTGATCTCGGCCGTTAAATGTCGGATGAACGCGAAAATTTGCACGTTTGTAGATATTTACGTAAGAAACAAGATGGTATAATTATTTTTTTGCTAATATGCAAATTTTTATCGTTATAGCCTAATTAATTATGCAAAAAAGCTAATTTTATGCATTTTACAGAAAACTCGATACATTGTATATTTGTCCGTAGACTTGTGAAGAATCTTGAAAATGTATTGAATAAATGTTTCCTTCATCTCATATTCATGAGGTTTCATTATTTGTTAGGTAAATTTGCATAAATTATGAATACACATTCATGAATATCAAATCTGGAAATATATATAGGGAACTAGAATCTTTACAAAAATTGTCAGACTCCACTTTTTGAATGTTGAAACTCATTATTCATATGAAACTTCTTTTCTAACACAAAATAGTTATTTGATGTAATTAATAATGATAATTTATGCCAATTTTATGCAATTTTCAACTTTTATTTTATTATGTATTTTTGTTTTTTTATTTCTTATTATATCTATTGTTTTATTTCTAATGAATTCTTTTGTTCTGAAATACATCAAGTTACCTTGAGAAACATATACAAGCAATTTGATATCAATTCATATCTTCACATTTCTGCTTGTACATCAATATATGCAATTATAGCACTTTTTTGATGACATGCGCATTCATGTACTAATTGTTATGTAACACCTTACAGGTATATCCGATTTCGACGAAAATGGTATCAAAATGTGCGTAAGACTTGAGGGAAAAAAGTCATGAAACGACAATTCAAAATATTGAGCGGTTGCGGCGCGATCTCCAAAAATGTCGAGGGGGGGGGCCTCCCAGGCCCCCCCCCCCCAGTACAGTAAGGGTTAATTGAAAAGAGGATCTGATGAGTTCCTGTAGAAAACATTTTCCAAAATTGTAGCAAATGTCACATGATATTTTACAAAGATCAAATATCATGCATGCTGAGGTCTATCTCTCACTCTCTCTGTAACACACTCTGTTTCCCCCTCTCCCCTTCTCTCTCTCTCTCTCTCTCTCTCTCTCTCTCTCTCTCTCTCTCTCTCTCTCTCTCTCTCCCCCCCCCCCCCCCTCTCCCCCCCCCCCCCCCCCCCCCCCCCCCCCCCCCCCCCCCCCCCCCCCCCCCCCGCCCCCTCTATCTCTCTCATTCATTTTACCGATGCCATTGACTAGATCTTGGTATGGATGACACCCGGATCAACCTAATGGTGGGAGAAGACGAAGCCAGCGGTAGGAGTGTCCCCACTACACCCCTTCAGACCACAGCCCCAGGTAAGTTGTAGGAAATATATCACATGTCTTGTGTATTGAGTATGCAACGACGTGCTCAAAGATAAACTTGAGTTCTGGTTTAAAAAAAAGAAAATTAATTCTCACACAATCAAACGAAACTTACACTAAATGTTCAAGATTACAAATTAATGTCATTTGCCAAACAATTTTGGTAGAAAATGCATACTGGCTAAGTAATGAACATAGAAAGATAAGGAAATCAATGTAAGTAGCCCAACACCATTTGTGTAGTCCCATATACATCTTTCTGTGCACAGGGCTTGTTACTTTACCAAGACTGGGCCAAATTTATTAAGATTTTGATGACTCCAGAACCTTGCAGTACACACCAATACTTACATGCTACATGATCATCTTTTTCTGATCCATTCCACACCTTTCATTTAAAAATGCAATCACTTGACCAGAACTCAACTTTATCTTCAAGTTTAGGGACCTGTTTCACAAAGCCTTTTGTCAATGACAAGTGAGAAAAATCAGTGACAAATCTGCTGATAGCCAATCAGAAGCAAGGATTTAAGTAGCTCATAACAAAGACTGTCATTTGTCACTGATGACAAGTTTTGTGAAACGGGTCCCAGATGCATTGAAATTGTAAAATCATTGTGCCAATAGAAACAGAATTTCTATGTATTACCATGGATCAATAAAAATGAAATGAATTGAACTGAGGAATCCTGATAAAAAATTTATGCATTTCTCGATTTAATCATGAGTACATGTATCAAGCAACTGAAGTACAACTTTATCCAGACCCTAATACATGTACGTGTTTCTGAAGTTATTAAAGTGTCTTTCAAAATTTCAATCAGGGGATATTATGTGAAATGCAGTCAAACCTGTCTATTTAAGGTCACCCAACGGAGAAAAAGAAAGTGGCCTTTCTAGACAGGTTCTACAACACACATTTCTTCTTGAGGAAGGCGAAATACAGGGCCACTATAGACAGGTGGCCATTATAGAGAGGTGGCCACTATTAAAGACAGGTTTGACTGTAGCTATCTATGCCATAGATGACAAATACCATAAATGTACTTCTTGAAAGAAGGCTTTCAAATTGTTAGGCATTGAGGTGCTTAGTTATACTCTAACAGTACACCAGAAACTTCAGGAGGCATGACACTTTTTCAGATTTTGAGAGTGGTTCCGATTCGAGCAAAGATGCATGCCGCTAAATAAATAACCATGATGAGTACACTATTGTATCTACTAAAAATGGCCATCACCAATTATCACAAAGAGTCTGAATTTACCGTAAGATTTCATCAAGAAAACAATTTTCTCTCACCCGCCAACAAATAATATGTGTCATAAGATTAGCTTCTACTTTACTTCTACTTCTTTTCTTCTTGGTCACAAAAGGTCATCCGTGGGATCGGCCTTCACAAAGTATGTAACTATTTTCATTGTTTTCCGGCATGAATACTTATATGATATTGGATGACTTTGAATGTGATACAAGAATATATTGTCAATGTGAGAGCAATATATTCTCGTATCACTCAAAAACAAAGACATACCATATTATTATTATTATCTATATCAGACTGACTAGCGAAATAACAAAATTTGACTTACCTCGGTAGATATGGCTTTGATTTTGTGTGATATCAATAGTTGAAGTTTCCGGATGACTGAGCAATATGAAACAGTCATCCAGGTACTGTGCTAAAGATATTGAATACACTGATTTATTGTACCACTTGGAAGCCTTATATAGATAATAATTTCCCATAAACTGTGTAATAGGGTGGATTCATAATTAACAGCGCCCCCTTCGGCAAGTTGGAACAGGCCAAGTTTTCAGCTTGCGTGTTGATATCTTTCAGTCAGTGCAGCGCAGCAAAATGCCAGCCACCGATCGAAATGACCAAAGTGATCCGGACTTTGTAAAGTAAATTCAATGAGATTGATTTTTCTGATAAATACGCACATTTTTATTATGAATTTGGATGTCATAACCCACTCATCAATTATTGATCTGACTGAAAATCTTGTCTGATTTTGGAAAAATATCAACACAAAGAGCCATTTTGGGTCTAAAAGGGACTGAAATGACCATATTGTTGATGGGGGTCAATTTGACTATTTGTCTAGAATCAATGCACATGTTTACATAGAGTAGGTCCATCAAATCTCCTTTGCTGATAATTAAAATTCAAAAAATTACCCCTTACCAAAAGTGACCATAAATGTCAGTTTTAGCCAAAATGTCCAAAACGACATAAGATTGACATTTTTAAAATCAGCGCAAACTTTTACCCCGGATAAGCTATCCCACCTTCTCTACCTAGAATTCTGATTAAATCTCTTGGGGTATATAATAATGCCACAGCTAATATTTTTTTCAACTTTTCCTATAATGCATCATGTGAAATTGACTAAACGCTGGTGTCCTTAGATGGCGCTGTGAATTGTGAATCCACCAAATTCAACAGCTTTAGAAATACTGTAGATGTTTCTAGCATACATGTACATGTATGTCTGTTACTTGAAATGTATTGCATAAGAATGTCTGTTCACCAAATTGTTCTCTTGATGTAGCATGTGGGGTATTGCATGATGATATGCTTCGTTTCCCCCTCCTTTAAATATTAGAAGATGATGTATTGACTGACATTTTCTTTTTGTAATTTTTTTTTGATAAAATGATTTATAACAACACTTTGCATATTTTGCTTTAGCTTTTGATATGTAGCTGATGATTATTATTTGAACTTCAGTAAATACATGTATTATTTCATTGGTGAACATGCACTTTTTGATCATTGTCCATGGTTGATATTCCTGCCTTTTGTTTTTAAATACTTTGAGTTTGTAACGCATTGCAGCAATAAGGGAGTTTACAGATACAATCTGAGCATGGGCAGATAAAGGTCATTTGTACCAAAATGGTAAAACCCACAGAGATGAATACTGGATATGCGCTCATGAAAGTTATGTACCAACGGTACATTCTATGATACGCAGGTCGAAGTATTCTTTTCAAGAGGTCAAAAAAAAGGTATTCATGAAGCACATCTAGGACTTTGGCAGTTATTATTCTAAGTTGCTCAAAGTGGAACTTCTCCATGTGTAAAAGATCTGTGGATATTTGGGGTCATTTGTACCATGTACTATCTGTAAACTCCCTTATTAAAAACCACTTATCAAAGTATCCACTCATGCAATGTCACCTTAAAAACATGACCGCTATTTTGACATTATTTAGTCTATTTCAGCCTGATATGATTTAATTTGGGTTTAACTTATTTTCCATGGACTCTCGCCCGAGTTATTTTGTAGTTCGGACTTAGTATGAGTTTAAGGAAATTTTTCTAAGCTGGTATTGAATGACATTAGAATACTTGCAGAAACAAATTCAATTTTACATACTTAATCTTTAAAATTGCAACAAATTTGGCAGAAAAAGATGATAAATGAAACATGAGGAAATAGAGCTAGACATCTCAATTCCTGGGCCCGTCGCACAAAAAGTAACATTGATGGTAACTTTGCCATCAATGAACATGGTTACTACCATGGAAACCTTGATTTTGATTGGCTGTTGAGCCCTGTTACCATGGTAGTTGCCATTGATGGCAAAGTTACCATCAATGATAAGTTTTATGCAACTGGGCCCTAGACTTTCATGTGCATGTATGTCCATTTACATTTGTGTGTGGTGCTTTTCAGTAATTGTCAAGTTTAGCACATTTTTTTTTTTAACGATCTGTTGGCCCAAACAAAAGCATGATAAATAAACTGAGAATACTTTGAGCCAGTTTCATTGATGGCGTGGCCCCGTCTTATTGAGTTGCGATTGATTCAAATTGATCACATCTTGATATGCCGGTGTGTTGGCTCAGTCAGTAGAGCGTCCGCCTCACAACCAGGAGGTCGTGTATTCGAACCCTGGCCGCATCATACCAAAAGACATTAAAAGACGGGAGTTGCTGCTACCTTGTTTGGCGTTCAACAATAAGGGATAGAGCAACGTCGATCTTGCGCTGCTCAGTTGCTGCCGGACTCACGATCAACTGGTCAAAAAGAATTTCCATTTTCGGTTTAACTTAATCAAATTTGGAGTGGACTTTAAAGATTATTAAAGATTAAAGATTAAAGATTGATATCAATTACAACTCTGTACTAAGATTTATCGCAACTCTTTATATGACACGGCCCAGGACTCAAGCATACTGGTGTAGTGTTGATCTTGATGTGTATTGGGCGATTTAATTTCTCTATCTTTCTCTTTCTATTCTTTCAGTGAGCCTGCTAGCCTCTGGTATCAGCCCCTCGGAAGGATTATTGGAAGCATCTCAGTCTGTGCCTGCAACGAGGACCAGCATCACACCGCCCCCTAGTGGTGGCGATGAGCCAGACACAGAACCAGGGCAGACCAAGCCAGGGTATGCATCTATCTATCAAAGGCTTATTCACTTCAATCCAATTCAGTTCAATCTTTCTGCAAGGAGGAAAAGAAATCTTGTTTGTGTATATTGTACCGCACCAGGGGGGGGGGGGGGGGGGTGTTTCACAAAGATCCTAAGTTGAACTTATCTCTTAGTTGGACTTAAACATTATGGAGAGCCATTTGTAGCCTTAAAATAAAATATATTGAAAGGCCAAAATTCAAGTATTTTAGACATTTCATAAATTCAAGAATATGAAATCTCCTTGATAATAGAAAATATGAATGATTTGAATCAACATTATATGCCTTTTAAAATAACTTTCACAAAATATTTTCAAAGATGATAAAGGCTTTCCATAATTGTTAAGTCCAACTTGAATCAAGTTCGACTTAGGATCTTTGAGAAACACCCCCTTGGGGAAACACTTTAGCATGAGCATGTAGTAAAATATTGAAATGATTACAAGTAATTTTAAAAGGGAGCTATTGGAGAACAGTCAAAGAGTGAAACAGCCTGTAAACACATCCATATTTTGCTGTAGTTTTGACCAAGCAAGGAGCTCAGGGGGAGGTCAGTCATAGAGTGGAACAGCCTGTAAACAGCAACCAGTACAAGAGCTCTAATATTTTTGTCACATCCGTGTTATACTGTAGTTCTGACCAAGCTGGGAGCTCAAGGGGAGGACATCAAGAGAGTGGAACAGCTGGTAAAACAGTGACCAGTACAAGAGGTCTTATATTTTGTTCACATCCATGTTTTACTGTAGTTTTGACCAAGCAGGCAGCTCAGGGGAGGACAGTCATAGAGTGGAACAGCGTTTAAACAGTGACCAGTACAAGAGGGCTTATATTTTTTTCACATTCGTGTTTTGCTGTAGTTTTGACCAAGCTGGGAGCTCAGGGGGAGGACAGTCATAGAGTGGAACAGCGTTTAAACAGTGACCAGTATAAGATGTTAATATTTTTTTCACATTCGTGTTTTGCTGTAGTTTTGACCAAGCTGGGAGCTCAGGGGGAGGACAGCCAGAGAGTGGAGCAGCTGGTGAAGATAAAGCAGGTCCAAGCAGTGGTGATGCTGCAGGAGCAGAGGGTTCTAGTGGTACCGGAACGGAAGGTAAGCTTATCGTCTGGGTGGGGTATTAGCCAGAGGCATTATGTTTTCGGGTTGTCCGTCCGTCCGTCTATAAGTCCCATTCTCGTGATCGCAAGAACCACTTGATGGATTACCGCTAAACTTCGGTCATGTATGTATCTTGCAGATCCAGTGAACTGATTAGATGTTGGGGTCATGAGGTCAAAGGTCATGGGCCAAATAGACCAAATGGGTAGTAGACAAACTGATTGTAGACCAAATGGCAATCAACCTTCATCTTCTTTATCTCTCTCTTAATCATGTCAATCAGGTGACGCACGTCCAAAGCCTAAGCGTATTGTCTGGAGCGACGGTTCCTCCCACGCCCCATCGCAGACCCAGTCTGGAGGCCCAAACCCGGAGCAGAGACCCAGGAACGTGGCCCACCGAGGTGGTGGAGCACGGGGGCGTTTATTGCTGCAGCGCAGCAACGTTGCATACAGAGGTAAGATATCATTCTTTTTGTATATTAAAGGGATAGTTGAGTTTTGTTGCAAATAATTATTTTGTGAGATAATGAAAAACTGAGTGTCAAATTTGAAAGAACATACCATTTAAATGTCAAAATCATCTTTGTTTGATCAAAATCGGTTCAGAGATTAACTAAGAAATATCATAAATAAGAATAAGAACAACAACCATGCACTTTGAAGGCATTTGCAGTCTGAAACAAGAACTCAACTATCCTTTTAATGTTGTTAAATTCAGGAGAAAGATTTGTGTATTTTGTTTTGTATAGTGCCTTGAGTAAGTTATTTGATAAGTGCACTTTATAAGTATTTATTATTATTATCATATTACATGGGGTACCATGTCAAGTGAAGTGTATAGATTACTGTGGTGATTTTAATTATTTGAAAAATTCACTCATTTGCATATTTATGGTAATTTATGCAAATAAGGTAATAAAAATCACATTTTTACCCACAAATCATAAATTCTTCATATTTATATATTAGTTTAGCACTACATATGTTCTTTAGACCAATGGGGATAATAATTCAACAACAAAAATTGGTAGAGCCAGGATATTCCTTATGTTATATACTGTTTTGATAATTTATGTATATCTTTGTCTTTTTAGGGCGTGGAAGAGGTGGTCCTCGGATGCAACAATGGAAGTAAAAGAATGTTCTGAAAATGATAGTAACTGCAAGAAAAGATTTCCTCTTTCACCCTAGCACTTGTAATTTGAGAACTGCAGCCCAACACTGCATTTTCCAACTGCATGTCTCCTGACTTGTTTGAAAAGGCTGTAAAGTTGGTCTCCCCCTCCAAAAAAATAATAATAATGGATTCTCCTTTATCAAAATTACAACTTAAGTGGTGGACCAGAGTTTCGTGAAGCATATCGTTTTTGTTTCCCTGACTCTAAACCTAATGGACTTTCTTTCTAATCAAAGAGTGTCCGATCATTCAACTAGTATGATTCCATAACTTGAAGGAAAGAGATTTATCGTGTATCAATAGATATGTTCGTGACACCAACACTTCCTTGAGGGAAAAGTGCTTTGTTTTTCAAAATCATCTCTCAACAACACTGTTCGTTGTAAATTTTGAAGTCAACCTTTTTTTGATAGTTATTATTATAAGTATTTGGCGTCACCTGTGCTTGGGAGGCGAAAAGCGAACTGAATCACTGTAAAACTTGGGTCTCTCCTCCCGGTATTACTGATTGGGATGCGCAGGTGGTGACTACACTGGGGTTTCCCCCTACTCTTACATGTATACGAGTAGTGCAGTGGGTTCTTAACGTGCAAACGTGGTGACTCTCCTCCGTTTAAAGTCCTATCTGAGGGACTTAATAGCAAGAGTGATTTATTTAAGCATTCTTCAGCAAAACAATCTATTATGAAGTGGATTCAAGTGTATGTATTCGGCATGGTAAGAGAGTAGACTGATTGAATATCTCAAGAATAGAGTGTGAGTAAGCTTATCATTAAAACTGCAAGTTAAACATCTAGGTTGTACTTGATTAATCTTTAAATGGACAAATAGTACACATTTTCAGTCATTCCATTTGGCCGCAGATGATGGATTTTTTCATAATTTCAAAATGGAAGTCCATCCGGCAATACTTTTATCCTATAAGCTTAGGAACATGTATGTGCATGTTATAGCTGAGCCATTAGTGACACAATGATTGAATAAGGCAATATCTGGTCAGGGTAAGGTGTGGAATGGGGGAAATGAGCGAGGGGGGGGGGGGCAAAAGTCTCCCAGGATCAGGTAATGCCAAATACTTAATAATAATGATGATGATAATAACAAGTTATCAATTAAGCCTCTGATATATATTTTCACATTATAATGAGCTTACTTGGGAGGCAACTAATGAAAGGGGGGAGGGGGGGTGCCCCCCCACCGCCACACTTGGTGCAACGTAACGCATATATTTATCTACGTCCATTCTGAAGAGTTCTACTCAACGCACCAGTATAATAAAGTTGTATGCACTGGTGTTAATTGTACAAATCTGCATGTAAAGTTTACAAGCTTGATGCAAACTGTTTGGTCTACTCTTATAATGTCATACACCAATGTTGCAGCAGAACAAAAGCGTCAGTTTCTCTACCGGTATCCATGGTCTCCACTAACGTTGCTTAGAATATACACTGTACAGTCATGAGCAAGATAAAAAAAGAGTTGTTGTATAACTAAAAACTTTGCATGTTGTATAAATATGTTTTCGTGGGCGACAGATGTTTGTACATTGTATGTTTTCTTTTAGTTCATGCTCTATTAACACGATTGCAACTATTTTTGAGGGAAAAAAAAAAATCAAATCTAGGACAATTTCAATGACCTATTGTACATCTATAGGAATCATGTTCAGATAACATAATGCGTCACCGGAATGTTCGCACATTTCAATAGGTGAAGCAAAAGGTTATTGAAATTGCCTCGGGCTGATTTTCCAAAAGTTGTATCGTGTATTTTAATGAATGCCAAAGTGCAGACAAATCAGTGTTGTAAATTGAATAAATACCTTGTATGAAGTACATTTCATTTGCAGTAAATGCTTGGTTCATTATTTTCTTTCTTTTGTATGTCTCGTTTCAGACGATAACATAAAGGCTGGAATTTGGGATTAGATGTGCATGATAGGTTTAGGGAATGGCACAATGTCACATGAATTTGGGATTTGATGAGCATTTTTTTGTTCCAAATTTTGGCGCCCTGATATTAGGAAGTAGAAATGGGATACTACAAAGTAGTGCTTATTGAAATAATGTACATGTATAATGTACAGATGTGATGTAGACATTGATTGTGTTGGCACATGCGTGTGTGTGTGTGTGTGTGTGTGTAAGTGCGATTAGGGGGGGGGGGGGTTGATTTGGTCTTCCGACATATCGACAACAACAAAATTGTATGTGCATCCCTAAAACTACAGAGAAATGCTTTTGAAATAATGTACAGTTGTGATGTAGACATTGACTGTGATGGAGTGTGTGTTTGTGTATGCGATTATGGTGGGGGGGGGGGGGGTTGATTTGGTCCTCCCAACATACCAACAACAAATTCCTCATGTGTTACTATATAGCTATATATTAATTCTTGGAATGCTTCCCCCCTGCAAGATCTTCTTTCCTGCAAATGCATCTTGATATCTGCTCTCAAGCAACCAGTATTCATAATGCCCTGGGTACTCGCATGTCACCTATACAACGATTACTGTTACTGTATACCAGTATCCGATTACTAATTAAAAGTGTTTTGACTTTGAGTCATTTGACAGTATAGGGTGTATCCAAGTTTGGGGGGGGGGGAGGTGGGAGTTGAGCTCTAAGGTTTAGAAATTCAATATCTCTGTGATATCCTCTATCTCTCTCTCTCTCTCATCTTTTCTCTCTCCAATCCTCTTTTTTCTTTCTCTCTCTCCCCTCTTTCTCTCACTCTCTCTCTCCTCCCCCCCCCCTCTCTCCCTCTCACCCTCTTTTTTTCCTCTGAAAAAGAGATAGTATTATTTCTTATCGATTGCCTAAAACGGAGGAGTAGGCATATAGAAATAGCTTGAAATGTGGTACAGGGCGTTACACTCATAATCAAAATTACACCTAAAGTGGTGGATCAGAATTTTGTCAAGCTTATAAAAAAAAAGTTGACTCTGAACCTAATGGACATTCTTTCTTATCAAAGAGTTTCCAATCTTTCAGCCAGTATGATTCCATAACTTGAAGAAAAGTGATTTATCATGTTTCAATAGATATGTACGTGACACCAGTGCTTTATTTTTCAAAATCACTATCTCAACAACACTGTTCGTTGTAAATTTGGAAGTCCATCTTTATTATTTATAGCAAGATTATGATTTATTTAAGCATTCTTTAGCAAAACAATCTATTATGAAGTGGATTCAAATGTGCCTATATTCGGCATGGTGAGAGAGTAAACTAATTGAATATCTCAAGATCAGAGTATGAATAAGCTTATCATCATTACAAATACAAGTTAAACATTTAGGTTGTACTGGATTAATCTTTAATTGGACAAATAAATATAACTTTTCGGTCGTTTCATTTGTCTGCAGATGCTGGATTTATTTTCATCATTTCAAAATGGAAGTCCACCTGGCAATACTTTTATCCTATAAGTTCAGGAACGTGTATGTGCATGGTATAGCCATTAGTGACACAATGATTGGCAATATCTGGTCGGTGCAAGGTGTGGCAAGGGGGAAAATGGGTGAGGGGGGTGGGGGGCAAAGCCTTCCAGGCTCAGGTGATGCCAAATACTTAATGATAATAATAATAATAATAATAATAAAAAGTTATCAATTAAGCCTCTGATATATGTTCACATTATAATGAGCTTACTTGGGAGGCAACTAGCAAAATGGGGGGGGGGGGGGGAGGGTGCCCCCCACCGCCACACTTGGTGCAACGTAACGCATATATTTATCTACGTCCATTCTGAAGAGTTCTACTCAACGCACCAGTATAATAAAGTTGTATGCACTGGTGTTAATTGTGTTAGTGCATGTACATGCATGTAAGGTATACAAGCTTGATACAAGCTGACTGCATGGTCTACTCTCATACACCATTGTTTCAGCAGAACAAAAGCGTCAGTTTCTCTACCGGTATCCATGGTCTCCACTAACGTTGCTTAGAATATACACTGTACAGTCATGAGCAAGATAAAAAAAAGAGTTGGTGTATAACTAAAAACTTTGCATGTTGTATAAATATGTTTTCGTGGGCGACAGATGTTTGTACATTGTATGTTTTCTTTTAGTTAACGCTCTATTAACACGATTGCAACTATTTTTGAGGGGAAAAAAAATCAAATCTAGGACAATTTCAATAACCTATTTTAGATCTGTAGGAAATCACGTTCAGATGACATAATGTGTCACCGGAATGTTCGCACATTTCAATAGGTGAAGCAAAAGGTTATTGAAATTGCCTCGGGCTGATTTTTCAAAAGTTGTATCGTGTGTTTTAATGAATGCCAAAGTGCAGACAAATCAGTGTTGTAAATTGAATAAATACCTTGTATGAAGTACATTTCATTTGCAGTAAATGCTTGGTTCATTATTTTCTTTCTTTTGTATGTCTCGTTTCAGACGATAACATAAAGGCTGGAATTGGGGATTAGACATGCATGTTAGGTTTAGGGAATGGCACAATGTAACATGAATTTGGGATTTGATGAGCATTTTTTTGTTCCAAATGTTGGCGCCCTGATATTAGGAAGTAGAAATGGGATACTACAAAGTAGTGCTTATTGGAATAATGTACATGTATTAAGTACAGATGTGATGTAGACATTGATTGTGTTGGCACATGCGTGTGTGTGTGTGTGTGTGTGTGTGTGTGTGTGTGTGTGTGTAAGTGCGATTAGGGGGGGGGGGTTGATTTGGTCTTCCGACATATCGACAACAACAAAATTGTATGTGCATCCCTAAAACTGCAGAGTAATGCTTTTGAAATAATGTACAGTTGTGATGTAGACATTGACTGTGTTGGCATGTATGTGTTTGTGTGTGTGATTAGGGGGGAGGGGTCGATTTGGTCCTCCGACCTATCAACAACAACAAATTCCCCACATGCCACTATATAGCTATACTTTAAAGTGACTCGGTAAACATTGTTGAAGGTTGATGGTAAAATGGTTTAATTTTTTGAATGAAATGTTCCTTATTATATTCCTTCTACTGAACTAACTCTCTAGCATGCACAAATTCTTAAACAGTAAAGATATTTATTGTTTTGTTTGAAGGCGTCACTGGTCAACACTCTCTAACAGTAAATTCTCCCAACCATTTTTTGAATTTTCCCAACCGTTTTCCATGAAAATAAGACATAAGACAGGCTTTCAAAGAAATACCTTTCAACACAAATGTCTGGCATGGTATATATAGAGCCACTTCATAACTTGTGACGATTTACATTTACCTGAAATGTAATTAAATTTTAATAATATAATTGGGAGAATTAAAGAATCAATCAGATCAGTTTTCCCCAATTATTGTTATCATTAATAGTGGTTTGTTTTCCCTCAAACTTTCAGATTATCTTTAATTGTACATCTAACATTCACCATTTTATCTCTTCTGAGCAATGTTACCAAGTCCTTTTAATTCTTGGACTGCTTCCCCCTGCAAGATCTTCTTTCCTGCAAATACATGTAGTTAATAACTATCTGTTCTCAAGCAACCAGTATTCATTATGCCCTGGGTACCGGCATGTAACCTATACAGCGATCACTGTAACGATATACCAGTATGCGATTACTAATTAAAAGTGTTCTGACTTTGAGTCATTCATGGGGTCTATCCAAGTTTGTTTGTTTTGTTTTTTGGGGGGAGGGGAGTTGTGCTCTAAGGTTTAGGAATTCAATATCTCTGTGAATCTCTCTCTCTCTCTCTCTCTCTCTCTCTCTCTCTCTCTCTCTCTCTTTTCCTCTGAAAAAAGAGATTGTATCCTTTCTTAGCGATTGCCTGAAACCGCAGTAGTAGGCTTATATAGTAAAAGCCTGAAATGTATATGTACAGGGCGTTACTCCATTGATCTTGAAGTGTGTCTAATACGGTGAAACCTGTATATAAAGACCACCCTAGGTAAAATGGCTACTGTAGACGGATTGGTCTTTAAGTTGTATGCCCTCTAATGTAAAAGCATATTGTAGTTGTTTTTTCAACAGAAATATCTCCTTTTACGGACCCTCCCCACTCCCTTAAAGGTACTATGCCCCCCCCCCCCATTTGCAGCTAACATCAAATTCTGTAGAACTTTGCAGAAATTATGAATATGTCATGTATGTCCTATCTGTGAAATTTAAACGTTAGTAGTGTCCTATTATCCAAATTATGCAAGGAACCCGTTAACTTTCTAGACTTCAC